GACCAGGTACTTAAACCTCGCATTGTCTCTGCCGTCTGATAGTGAATATTATTTTGTAACAGCAACTGTTAGGCGAAATGCTATGCTAAACTTCATGTTTAACAAAGACCTAACAATATGGCCAAAAACATTTTAAATTAAAAGCTATTTTTAACTCAATCTAAACTCGGCTGAATCTGTTGATATTGCGTGAATCTCGCAACTGCAGAGGGAAAAGCCTGCCTCTATATCATAGGGAAAAGCGATTAAACTTTTATTTATCAATACTAAGTGCGTGAAAACGTTTTTAAAGTGTCTCATTTTATGGCAATTCATAGTGTAATTACTTTAACTTTTAATTTTAATCCTCACTCAGTGGACAGGGAGGAATGTGTTATTTCAGTGCAAACAAAGTATACCAAAGGACTAGCAGTTAAGAACACACAATTCTTCATTGATTTTGTACATTGAACCGGCAATAATACTTTTTTTCCAATTGCAATACTTTTTATTCATTCGCATGTCATAATCTGGCAAGGGTGGAAGAGAGCCCTTATTATAATTTACGTTTAGCGCTCAAAATGTTGTCATTAGCAGCATCTGCTATCTGTGACGTATTTTATCTTACACAAAATACTGAGGTGCTGTATGAAAGGAATAAGAACTTAGCGGGATCTCCATTTGCTGTTCATTTTGTTTTAAATGCGCATAAACCATATTAATAAACAGCTAAAGTGCATAAGCCAGTAAATGTTTCATCAAGTACGATAGTTTAAATGACATCACCTTACAGATAGACAACATCTCTTCTTAATTAATGAGTATGAGAGAACCAACTGTGATGAAAAAAAACAAAGAAATGTACCAGATTAGAAACGAGCTTGTAATTTGCGAACCACTTTGCACCTCACTTTTAAAGCGTTTTCAGAAAGGAGTTTATGATGTACAGCTTGTATGATAAAATTAAAGTAAAAAGGATCCAAGCACGTTTCAAGAAATACATTCACGCTAAGAAGTGTGTAGATATGAATTTTCTTCATTTTGTAGGTGTGTGAATTTCCAACGCATTTTTCTGAGTTTGCGTGTCCTGACCTCGAACTTGAATGCTATTGGGGTTTTTATTCTGCTCTCAAGTTCCATTCAAATTTATTTGCATTATGCGTGTTTGACACCAGTCATCATCATTATTTTCTTGACGACTTCCTCGATCGAGGTCGGAGGAAAATTCAGAGTAACATTGCAAAGAAAGGTTCTGTGAAGACCGAAAACAAGGAACACAAACTGTTACGACTGAGAGCTTCTTGTTTTGATCGGTTGCTTTAAAAGAGACAATTGAATGAAGCGGATTGAGGTTTCAATTAGCCTGGTACAAATTTATCAGGCACCTGCGCTTCAAATGGAAGCGACGTTACTGAAGCTTTTTTACATGGAACAGCCATTAAGACGCCTGAGTGTACGAAGAGGTGACGTGTAGAGACATTCATTGAGGGTAAAAATATATTATATTAACGGTATCTTTTATCAAACGGTAGGATATCTTAGGATAGACACTGGCTTTAAAAAAATTTGACTGATATTTCATTAAACGACTCAAAAAGCTTATTCAGACAGATTAGTTGACAGCTATGCCATTTGCATGATGCAGGATCGTGATAACAAATGAAGACTTTTTTTTTGAGAAAAACCTTTCATCTTTGCCATTGTTCATGGATTCTGTAAAGCAAACGTTGACATAGCTTTAAAGTCCAGGGCGTATTCGGTTGAATTCGTTGCCGGCTATTTCCTCTCAGTTTAGCACCCAAAACAGGAACAGGAAGTTATTTCTCGATGCTATTATCATTTTGATTTAAAACCAACTGTTGTCACCATAAACATCATGCTACTATACGTGTTAAAAGAAAGCACATTTAACTCAATTGCAGTCAAGTGTCTAAGACCATGCGAATGGAAAGATAAGAAATCATCTCTGTAATTGCAGAAAGGAATAATTTGAATAGTACATTCTCGGAAAACATTTAAGTGAATATTTCTAGAACTAAAATTGAAGATGTTTATGTTTGGGCGTCGGTATACTTTTCTTTAACCTCAAAATTGCCTAAACTTAAAAATGTCACTTTTGTTTCGAGCCCATGTAAAATTTTGACATTTCAGCAATCGGACAAGGAATTCCTTCAAGCGATGAATTACTTTTGAAAAGGGGAAGGAGGATTATTCACCATTGTGTCGAGGTTAACTGCTTGAGTCTGTTTTCTCCCTGTTATTACTTTACAAAACATTTGATTAAAGAGGGAAAACACCTTGGGTTGTTAATTTAACCAAAAAAATGTGGATGAACGGCAGTTGGTTTTCTATGAATGTTAACTATAGATTCATCAACAGCGGAGAAGTATTTTGTGGACATTTCGCCTTGTAAAAATCCTCTTCTTGGGGTTTCTGATGGAGCTTGTCACAGCTAATGTTCAATGCAGGACACAAGTAAGGATTCAAGGTATGGCTCTCAAGCATTCCTTCTTCAAAAGATGGTCATTGGTGCTTCAATATGAAATGTGAACAAGAGATCGCGTGCCAAAGCGGTAACTACAAAAGAAAATACAAAATATGTGAACAAAATAACCGCACTAACGAGGCAAGACCGCAGAATTTCCTCTTAGCCCCTTCATGGTTTTATATCCAAGGATTGAACGTCAGAGGTGAGAACTCAAAAATCTGTATATCTATCTAATCTGTATTTCTTTAAGGATACGGATGTCCTTCGCAAAAAAAAAACTTTCTAATGCGCCATTTGAAGCATAACTACCATGAGATACAGGTAACAATGGAAAGACATTTCTTCACTAAATCAACCCTCTTTTAGAGAAATCCTGTGGCACACTGATTGTGTAAAACCGTGGTTTGGGTTAAAACTCACGTAAATGACCGGTCCTCACTGATATATTTTTTTCCATGATCATTTGCCATTGAAATTACCTTTAGCGTATGATCGCTAGGTCACACTCAAAGCCCAATCTAAATTTGAAATTTTCAACCGAGTGTCGAAAGAAATCCGGGGTTGCACTGGTTTTGCTTAACTTTGCTCTGTGATTGGTCCAAACTCGCGCCTCTCCCTCAACCATCCAAATGCAAAACCAACATCAGTCACGACTTGATCACCCGCGTTTTCCCGCGCTTTAGGCGGTATTTTTCGTTCTACTCACTGGCCGTTGTAATTCATTTAGTTTTGGTCTTACTGCACTCAATCGAAAAGCACTCGATCAAGTTCAACGTGTAAACTAAAATGTTATGATTTAATATATTTACTCTATTCGTCTGGATCATCGTTTCAAGGAGGATATTAACCGAGCCTATAGAAGGTTGGCTATCTTAATACACCCAGACAAAAGCTTGGCGCCAGGAACCGAGGAGGTTTTCAAAGCGTTGGTGAATGCACGTGCTGCTCTGCTACATTCTCAAAGATAACACTGAACAAGAGATAGGTCACGGTGTCGATGATGTCGCCGGTTTTTTCCAATAACATCATCGATGACATCGCCGATGAAACTTTCACGTCTTCTTTGTGCATTATGATGTTACCAGTCTATTCTATGATCTTCATTTGCTTAAAATGTATTTTCCGCAGTACAAATATATGACTTTCATGTATTCTTATCACACCTTCTCCATCTACGGGTATAGTCTATTCTTCTTAAACCTTTCACTCTCAAGATCTCATTCGTAATTTTCCCCTTACTGTCTGCCATCCAATTCATACGATGTTAATTGGGAGAATAAGGTATTGGATCAACTGATGATCCCCTAATAAGCACTTTTTCCTTATTCTTATGACTTGTCCGATATAATATCTATATTTTAGGGAGAAATTCTGTCTTGGTTATTCTTGGCAGTTAATGGGTAAAAGCCTCTCAAACCAAGTAAGTTTTGATGAAAGGGTGATGACAAAGCTTTACTAAAAAGAGGGAAATATTGCCGTGACAACGACCCCATGAATACTTTTACTGCTCCTTTCATGCAAGATTTCTTTGTTCTTATCTTGTTTCGGCGTTCGGCTTGAAATCAATAACACTTCGGCTTTGAAAACAATTGGATTAATCATAAAGAGCACAGGATTAACTAACTTAAACAAGAAATCGTGTTTCAATCCATGAAAATATTATTATGAAAAAAAATTTAAAAAACTAATCTGTATATGTAGTCTTCATTTTTCTTTCCTGCTATCCGATTTTAAGGCAAAGATAAATTTGAAAATCAATTTTTAAAAAAATTTGTGTTCAACGCTCCGCAATTTAGAGATTAAAGGTGGTTTGAAATTGTTTTCCGAGACACCTTCTAACTATATACAAAGCGCTAGAAAAACACATCTTTCCTTCTTCACAGTCGAATCAGTTTCACACATTTGTTAACCAATGGAATAAAAGTTTGAAATGGCGGGTGGTCTCATAGCAATCTCTATTATTATGCGAAAGTTATCAGAAAATCCTGTGAAACAGTTTTTAGGCCAGGGCTCGGAAAATCCTCGCTAGATTCTCCCACAACTTTACGAATACCTTTTTTGAGATAATGTCTTGCTGTTGAGTGAGTTTTAACAAACTAAGTGATGTTCCCTAATTTTCAAACCTTAACGTCTACAACGATGAAATCATTCGTTTGAATTCAATTCAAGATGAGCGAGTTTTAAGCTGTTGTTTGTTGAAAGAAAATGTTATTCATTGAGTAACGCAGGCATAATCGCAGAAGCAAAAAACAAACTCCGAGTGCATTGGCATTGTCCACGTCATTGCTAATGATAATCAAAAAGGTTATAAACATTGACAAATTGTGGCCGATTGGTTAACATGGTGATTTAAGTGAAGGAAGATGTAGTTCAAGGGAATGATACTAAATACGCGGAGAAACAAAAAATTCCGAGTTCTCCTAATGAGAGCCAAACCTACGACCTTCCAATAAATAGTCATCAGCTCCACCACAGACATAGGAGACTCATGGCGAGCTAAGCCGTTTAATTAAGTTCATGGTCACAAACTCCC